ACACCGGTACCCTGGGGCCAGTGCCAGTGGGGCCCAGAGCGAGGTGGCAGGAGTACAGGGCCCCAGCCAGCAGGTGCTCTATGCAGCCGAGCCAGCTCCCCCCTCTCCCTGCTGGTGCAGCCCAGGCCAGCTCCACAGACACCTGCCAGCCTGTGCCCCACTTTGGGCCCCACCGGTGCTGGCCCTGGGACATTGGTCCCAAGACATTGGGACATTGGTCCCAAGATGGTGGCCAAGGGGCGAGGCACCTGTCAAGGGGTGGGGATACCCATGCAGCCCTCAACAGCCTGCCAAAACTGGGTAAGCGGCCCTCTGTCCAAAATAATTGCCTGCCACTGTTCTAGGTCCTGTTCTTCCAGAAGTAATCAGCTGCAGTTTACAGAGAAAAAAGGAGAGAGAGGAAAAAAGAGACAGAGGATTTTTATATTCCTTTTATAGAAAGAAAGGGGGGGAAACATAGTAATAATTTGGAAAAAAATATCCTGTATCAGCTAACTATGACTTTTGGTTACAACAGCAGTTGGGGATTACCACTGAAACAGTAGAAGTACAGCACACTCTTTATAGATTATAGTCTGTTGTAGCAGACTATTACAGGTTCTCATTTCAAGTTCTACAACTACTTCAATTTACCTTGCACTTCAGCTCAAACAAGCTATATCCTCTAGTGTTAATGTTGTACTGATCCCTTTCTGGATTTAGTCAGTTACCATGAAGTGCTTAAAGCCTCCCAGGCCCTTTTCCTCAGGCTCAGGTAGCCCTTTCAGTTATTAGGGAGCTTCGAGACAGCTGGTTTCAAAAGTACGTTTCAATCTTTTGTCATGATTTTTCCTTCCTTGCTGCAGCTTCCACTCCTCTTTACTTATCCCAAAACAGATGCTCTTCACAAATTCTTCCCAGTTACTCCCTCCAAACACACAGACTACTATTAAAGTTCATTAACAAGCCTGTGTGCTAGTCACCTGTACCAATGGGCTCTCTAATTCCCTCCACCTGGAAAAACAGGCTACACCTGGCAACTTGCCTTCCTGGATGATTTTTGCCTTGGCCATAACTTCTTCCTTACTTCTGTAAAGCTGGCCTGAGTTGTTATGATGCAGAAACAGCATGCTTCATAAATCCAGATTGATTGTATATGGAAATGATGTAAAATTCTATTAAATTAAAAGATGCAATAGAATTAAAGCAAGCATGCTGGAAAATATACTAATATACATAGTTATTATTACCCATTTTATTGAACTTATGTAGCTTGAAAGTTAAAACACAGGTTTTGGTTTGTTTTTTCTAAAATACCAGAAGGGATTAGTTAAATATGGAGACTTACCGCTAGCAAAATTGTATCTGAAAACAAGTTCAAACATTTACAAGTTAAGCCACTTTTGTGTTAAGCTTGACAAAAAAAAGTCTTAATGCAGAAGTAGATTTCATTTTTGCTGCCATAGCAGTAAAAATAATGGCTTAACAGAATTACCAGAATTTGCAAAACACAAAACAAATTTGACATATTGTACAATAAGCTTGTCCCAATTGACTTGAAAATAGTAGCTGTATTAAAAAAGTCACCAGAACCATTGTTTATAATAGAAATATAGTTGAGCCCTTTTATATATAGCAGCACTACCACACTTGTTTTAACATATATTTATATTCAAAGCAATGTTAAAAAGACAGATATGTAGGACTTCTCATTTTATAGCAACTTTGAGATGGAATTTTTAAAATAATAAGTCTGCACAATTTTATTTATGGTTATACTGCTATATATCAGGAATAATCCTATTGTATTCAATTAAATTATTCTGGATTTATATTTTATCAGCATAATAAAAACCAGTTGTGACCCTTTGAGGCCAACATGTACCATCTATGTATGAGTCATGCAAAACAGAGAATTAAATTAACTTAATTATTATAAAGCAGTTGTGTTTTAAAATAAGTACTAAGTAATGTAATAAAACATATAGTACTTTAGTATATTTTACATTATATTTAAAATTTAAATTACAATGTGATGTACTTATATTGTACAGAGTGATTTTTCCTATAGTAAATATATAACAATTGCACCAAACTTCAGTGTTTCAACTTCCTTGTTCTGTTTTTAATGTATTTTGGCCATTGATTTTTTCTCTCCAAAGCACACTTCTAAAAAAGAAAAAAAACCACCAACACTTAACATACATAAGACCATATAATATACATATATATGGCAGGGAGAGAGGGTAGATAAAAAAGGCAAACAACTCCCATGACTCGTCTGACTCCATTACAATCAATGGAGCAGCATAGCTCACAACATCTGTTAATTTGATATTTATTGTCTAAATATGGATTGTGATGAAATAGTATGTTAATCACGATGTATGAGGTGACTTTTCACAACTCATTTATACTATACAGATGTTAAGGCAATGTGGGAAATTCTTTCTGTCTCTTATATCTCAAACTCTGTACCTAAATCCACAAGGGCACACCTTAAAGACATATTTCACTTTCTTCTGTGGATGGTAAGCAACCCCATCACATGCTACAGTGAGGTGGTAGAGGGCATTTGGAAAGCACCTCAGAACGACTTATTCAATTCTGGCACCAAAAACTGAAGGGAAAGTTGGAATGGAGTCTCTATCTCTGAAAACACCATTTCCACTCAAGAGCTCACCCATGACAAAATTATCCTTTGCCTTCATAAAAGCAGTTCTGGAAGCGAATTTATTTCCCCTGAATTAGCCCAAGTTTCTCTTTTTTAATTTCCCAGGGAAACCTTCAAATGCAAGAAATTTCTTCCCGCAGACTCTAAATTCAACTTCTGCATGAAAAGATTTACATTCAATGTATTTTTTAGTCCCAGCTAAACACAATCCATTGCAGAGAACTATTTTTTAATTTGAGTTAGTTTAAGCTTGTTTGCCAACTTATAATCTTTCTTTTCTTGATTATAATTATGAGAACAAGAAATGTAACTCAATGTGTTTCAATCCTTCATATTCCTTATTTCTAAACACATGTGGCTCTGGCATATGAAGTCTATCATAGACTAAAGAAAATTATGTGGGAATCCCTTGTTAAAATAACAGTAAAACATTTCTGCCAGTACTGCATACTTGCTTTGCACTAAACAGCTACCAAACTGTTGTTCTCATCCTACACTGCTCCTTGGCAGCCTAAAGAAGCAGTATGTCACCATTATTATAGATGGGGGCTTGCTAGCTATTGCTTGTCTAGCATTTGATATGTACCTATATGGAGAGTAACTTTCTGTTTCCCAAAGTCCAAAAGCTATTGAACCTAATGTGTTGGTATATTATTCTAATTTGATGCTAATTGGCCCTAGTGTGCCATCCATTAAGTGCTGAAATATGAAAGTGACTACTGCCAACATAGGCTCCCACTTTGAGTGTTTATGCTTTTATACTTAAGAAGCACTATTACTATTACCCAGATTGTAATATGTGTTGGCTCTTTTCACCCTCATTACAGCCACCAGGTACACAAATTATATAGCTAAGGAATGGCTATTGGTATGCAAGAAAGGATTATTAGGGTCTGTATTAAAACAGCTGGACCATGATCTTCACTGGGCCTGATCTTTATGCCTCCATCTCCAGAGGAACCATGAAGGAGCTAAGTAGGAGGTGTCAGATCTGTACTTTTTGGAAGACCCAGAACTAATACACAGCATATTTTACCCTGCAGCTTTCTTCTTGCGCATAGCTTTTGGGTCATTCACAAAGAGATAGCTCAAGAACAGCATCTTGCCCAACACATGACTAGAAATAACGGTCACAAGCTGGCAGAGGGTAAATTCAGATTAGACATCAGGAGGCGCTACTTCACTGTCAGGGCGGCTAGGATCTGGAACCAACTTCCAAGCGAAGTGGTGCGGGCTCCTACCCTGAGGGGTCCTTAAGACAAGGCTAGACAATCACCTTGCTGGGGTCATTTGACCCCAGTACTCTTTCCTGCCATGGCAGGGGGTTGGACATGATGATCTGCTCAGGTCCCTTCCGACCCTACCAACTATGAAACATGCTGTTCTTAAAATCAAATCCTATTCTACCCCTATTCCATTTGGGGTAGAGAGGGAGAGAAAGGATTTGGATAGCTTCTGCAGAAGGCTGCATCCCATTTCCATGTCTCTGCACACAGTGTTGCCAATTCTCATATAAATAAAAAAAAGAGCTAAGTTTTTCATGCCAGAAATCATAAGAATTGGCAACACTGTGAGTGAGTGGATTCACCAACTCAGCTGAGCAGAGGGAAAGAAATAATAGGAGCTACTGCAAGTGGAAGGTAGATTCCTTCCACCAGCACCAGTGGAATTACCTTTTGCCAAGCTTAACTACTTAGATTGGGCAAAAGGACAAGATTTAGTCCTAGAAAGACAAAAATTGAAGGACATAAACCATATTTTTACAGAAACAATGAACAGAAAGACTGAAGAACTGCAAACAAATATAATGTGTGCTCCAACAGAAAGGGAAAGTATTATGGTGCTTTTTTTAGTGGCCAAGTGCTCAGTTAAGTCTTAGAAAATCAGAAATTAAACAGCCTTTTTCTCATACCTTAAAATGCTGGGTTTTTCTCCCTTTGATTTGCAGGAAGACAGGTGCATTGGAGCACAACCATCTCATTGGTGTTATTCGTCTGGCTGTTCTCTGCTTTTTGGTCTGTGATGCCACTGTTGGGGTGGGGTGAATATAACTATGAGCCCCTAAGAACTTGTTGCACGTTGGACTACTCGAAAGGAGACAGGTGAGGAAGTGCATGGTCATTTCCTATCTGTTTTCTGTGAAATGGGGTATAATGGCAACAGCAAGTATTTTTCAGTGTTAATGCCAGGCATCTTGCTGCCCTAAGCAACTGCATACCAGCTATCTAAAGAAGGATAAATGGGTAGAATTGTGCTTGTTAGTGCATTTTATAAACCAAATGCAAAAAGAATTAACAAGGTCTTTTTCCCCCCACCCACCAGAAATTATGTCACATTCCTTTTTGCTCTGGCCATTTTCAATTTCCTGATCCCAGGCTTCATCATGCTGACAGCTTATCAGTCCATAGAGCACAAGTTCAAGAGAACTGGACAGTTTAAGGTAAGAAAACTTCTCAAACTCCCCCACAAAACTTGGACCACTTATGAGTTATAAAATCCTGAAAAAAACAATTCCCCCCAATTCTACTTAGAAAGTCTTTGAAACAATCTGTTCCTCTCCTAAAAAATAAACCCCAGGTTAGCCACTAGAAAAAGCTCAGGAGTAGCTTTGCTCAAAAAGCTGAAAGCTATATTTCTTAATACAGACTTTTAGTACAAAGCTCTGAAAAAACGGCAACACTAAAGATTTGTTACACATATTCGGTTTCCAAGTGTGGGCAGGAGAGGAAGTTGGCTTTACAAATGCAGCCACTTTACACTTGGCTGAGGTAATTCAGAAAACTTATGAGGTGGAAACAAAGGAATTGTTTCTTCAACAATGCTCTGGAGCACCAAGTTTATGATGATGTAATGTAGTGATTATATAACCTGGTTTCTTAGGCACATACTGAACATTCAGTGGGCTTTACACTTGACTAGTTGGTACAGACTGAGCACTCTCAGCTATCAGAAACAGTTAATTCTTAGGGATAGTATTTTAGTGGAAAGGGTTTGTCCAAGCTGATTAATGTATAGATGAACATTTGCAGCAGTGTGTGGTATTATAGGGTCTACTTATGAGGCAGGAGATGTGTAAGCCTTAACATGAGTATTCAGTACGCAGTACTCAAATACTATGGCAAGCTTATGAAATAAAGAAGGCATTAGTGACACTGAAAGTTTTGATTCTGGTATTTATGGCAGCATAGCTAATTTTTGCTTGCGGTATTTTCTTGTGCAGTTTATTGTTTGTGCAATTCTTTCAGAAGTTCACAAATGATCTCCCTATCCTGATTTTTTTACCTCACAAAGTTTCAGTTTTCCCTCCCACCTGAGGTTTTCAGCAGATGTTAAACTACTCACACTTCACCTTGTCAGTTCATCACATGATGTATTTTTATTAACTCTGGCAACAGGACTTGCCAGCTGACTGAGGCCATGGACAGACATTCATTTTTAGTACTTCACAGTATTCTAGTATTTCACAGAAATTCTTAGCACTAGAAAAATTGTTTGGGAGTCAGAGCCTACAAACTCTACAACCAGGAGGCACTAGGGCTAAGGAGAGACATTCAAAAAGCCTGAGCCTGAATTGATTCAATCTTTGCAGGTTAGTCTAACCTGGCTAAGCTAAATCAGTTTTGTAACCAGACAGACATCCCAGTAATGCAGGCACATGCCTGCAGTGGCTCTGACTAGAAGCCAGGGGGCACTAGAGCAGCCTTCCCTTCCCTTGTACAGGTCTGAGCTGAGGGGGGCATGGCGAGGCCCTGGCGGAACACTGTGTTATTAGGGAGCCCCACCCCCTTTATAACAGCATTTATCAGCTCTGTTATCAGCATTTAATATCCCATCAGAACACAAAAGCCTCACTCATTACAAGCTTTTCTTAAACAGTTTTTTCCAAAGGAAAATGCATGCCACCCTGTGGCTCCTTTACTATTCATTCCATTCGGGAAGAAGAGCACACACCAACTGCAGATGCTTCCTCAGTCTGATGAAGGGTTTTTAAACCCAAAAGCTTGCTAAGAAAATTTTTTCCAACTATTTGATTTGTCTAATAAAAGATAACAGATTTACCCAAAGAACCCTGTCTGCCTTTTCCAAAGGAAGGAATGCAGGGACATTACCATCTGAGCTGCTGATTATCTTCAAAAACTCCTAAGCGGACACTGTCCTATCTGCCTTACACAGCAGCTAGCATACCACATGCACATACAGTCTGTGCTGCACGAGAGAGGAGGAAGGGATCTCTGCTTATGCAGTGAGTGGTGAGAGAGTGCTGCAACCAGGGAGGGTCCAGCTCTGCTGTGGAGCAGAGAGCCCAGCCCAGAGAGCATGCCAGGATGCTGGGGGGTTCTGGTTTGGCTTAAACCAATAAAGGGTCTGGGACAGATATTGCGGTTTAGCCCAAATCAGTTAAGTCTGATACTACATTCAACCAGATTTATCTCAAACTGGTTTAAGCCATTTTCAAACTGGTTTATGTGCATTGAATGTTTGTTCTGTTACAGGTTTAAACCAGTTTCTGGCCACTTAAACTGGTTTATGTGTAATGTCTGTCCCTAGCCGAGGGGACTGCTCCTTGAGACACCCACCCCCACACCACTGCTAAGGCAGGGGGCTGGCTGTCAATAGGCAGCTGGTAGCTGCTAAAAAGCAGCAGCTGCCATGGACAGCCCCTCACCCTATAGAATTGATAAGGGTAAGGAGATTGCTTTCCTAGCCTCTTCCACTCCCTGCCTCCTGCATCAAGCAACAGCACCCTCTAGGTGACTCAGAGGGGTGCACAGAGCAGGGGCCATTGTGTCACAACTGGAAGGGAGAATGCCATGGGAGAATGCCAGCACCCTGTCTCATTGTACCAGTTACTGGGATGGGTCCAGCTGTGGGAAACACATCTGGTTCACAGTCTGGGCAGGAGAAGTAGGCAGATGCCTGTGGCTACTTCCAGCCTGGAGGAACCCTTGCACAGACCTAGGGTGACCCAGGTGTGTTTAGTGGCTGGGGAGCACCAGCATCCACAGGGCATCCCTGGGAAGGAGGATGAGAAGAGCACTGTAAGATCCTGGGTGTCCTCAACACCCAAAAGAAGCATACACATACTCTAGCGTAGGAGGGGAAAGATATTTCTAGTCAAAAGAGAAAGAACTTTCTTGCAAAAGAGCCTGTTTTGTTACTCAGGAAAACCCTTAAATGGCTGTATTCTCTCTCTCTCTATTAGGAAAAGAGCTTTTCTCCTAGCATGAATATCATGGCCTAAGCATGCAGTTCTAGCAGGGCAAGTATTGGGAGTCACATCCATATAATCCAAATGATCTCTATAAAAGAACAAAGGGCAGTATATCAGTGCAGTATATAACATATATTTAATCTATTTAAGACACCTTTACTGAGTTTGAACAAGGATTAATATTTCACTGTGTTAAATAGAGCATGTAATTCTATAGTTAAATGCATGTGTTGCCCTCATTTTTTTTCAGTTTAATACTGGTTTACCAGTGAAGACACTGATCATTTGCTGGGGACCCTACTGCCTTTTATATTTCTATGCTGCAGTTCAAAATGTGACATTTATTCCACTTAAACTACAAATGGTATGTAAATATATCCTTGTTCATTCTTTTTTCTGACTTACTCTTATAGCACAATATCAGTTTAGGAATTAATACTTTGAAGCACAGGATATAAATTAGAAGACAATAGTTTCTTTGTAGAGTATTCTACCAATTTTAGAGTAAAACAACTTATTACAGTAATAAATATCATTAGCAGGATCATCACGACTGATTGCAAACAGTTTAAGAAGTTTCATTTGTTGCTTCAGTAGATGGCTTTAATCTGCATCTGTAGCTTGAGCATTATTGGATTGTGCAGTTTTTCACCTGCCAACCAGTTCAGATGTTATTATTCTGAAATGTCATTCTTTGCTGATACAGTGCATTCATTTAGTAAGTGAACCTGTTATTAGCAAAGTCACTCTAACCAAAATGTAGCTTTTTTCTTCTCCATGATTAAACACTGTTCTAGAACAGGAAGAGAAGAACCTTCCGACTTGGTTTTCTCTGCTCCATATTTGCTGGAAAAAGCAGGAGATGCCAAAAATCATACAAAAATGTTTACCATATGCACATAAAGTTATTCAAAATCATTATAAACTTGTCTTGAGGGACTAATTGGCTCATGGATTCAGTAGTAACATATAGAGCCTTTTATCTTTAGCTCACTGGTTAAACTCCAGCACAGATTGCAATTAATCAGAAGTCTTTAATCATATATTAGGTATTCAGTATCCCAAATGAAATGAGCTGGTGATCTCAGTTTAGTTCCCAATTGACAGGTGCCCACAGCTTAACATTCACTTCTGCAAACTGTGCATTTGCATTCAGTTTGTCTTAACTGAGTGTATCTACATGAGCTGTTTACTGTGGAGTAGACTAATTAGCTCCCCAGTAAACATCTTGGCATCTACATGTGTGGGACTATTAGGCTGGACTAAACTAATCAACTCCACAGCAGGGTAGTACTTGTTAATATCCCCAGACTCCCTGCCAGCCGGAGCTGTTTCAACCAGGCTCAGCATGCTGTGGTCCCAGGCATACCTGTGAATACAGCGCCCAAGAGCAGTAAGCTCCAGCATGATAAGTGTCATGTGCATGTGATGCACCCACTGAAATGTAACAGGGGCACAGATGCTAGACTAACTTCCTCTTTTTGGAGGTGACCCCTTCCAGATCAGAGAACACTGGCTGGGTGGCAAGTTGTCTGTTTTGCTGTTGTCATGTGCGTGGAGGATTAATACTATCCAAAATCCTTTACCAGAACCAAATTCACTTAAAAAATAATCCATCCAATTCCTGCAATTAAGAATTTGTTTGGTAAAGGACAAACCAAATAATTCTTAAGGCTAGACTAAAGTGATGCTACATGGATCCCTGTGGTAATTTCTCCAAACCAACTCTCCTTCCACCCCCCAACGCTTACCCCCAACACACACAGGCACACAAACTAACTTAATTTCATATTTAAAGTGTTGTGTCTTATAACAGGTTCCTGCCATTATTGCCAAGATTTCACCAACCATGAATGCCTTTCTGTATTCCCTGGGAAATGAAAACTACAGAGGAGGAATATGGCAATTTCTCACAGGACAGAAGGTTGAGAAAGCAGAGGTTGATAATAAAATTAAGTAACAAGTTTTTCCTTCCAGGTAAGGTTAATGTAGACATGTAACTGAAAGCAAAACAACATAGGAAACCGTATACATACTGCAACTTAGTTAATGGTGCTTCCATTGGAAAGGTTTTTTTCATGTATTTCCTGGATCATCACAGCTATAACACTACAACACCACACAAAAGAAAGTGAGTCAGATAACTCTTTAATTTTTATTTCAGTCTATTCTAGGCTTTTTGTCAAACAAATTGCCTTAAACCCAATGTTGGTTGTAGTCAGTATCAGTTTGTGTGTCATTGCAGATCTTGTGTGTGCTGTGAAGCATTTTTTCTGTTACACTAATGTCAAAGTTTAGAAAATTAAGTGAAGTAGGATATTAGGTTATCCAGTGAAGCCTACCAGAATTAATTTGCATTTGGTTTGTCCATATGGTATATCTGGATTACCAGAAGATTAAAGAAGTGTCCAGAATTACACCATATGTCTATGTAAATAGCTTGTTCATCTGAATGTTTTAAATTCATATATAATGAAAGTTTGCAAATGTATGAGGCTGAATCTGCCATCTTTATTTGTCAAAACATTCCAATGAGTGTTTTCTCCAAGTAAGAAATGTTAGATTTGATCCTATTCCAATTTAATTCCCGTATATCATTCAATTTGCAACCAAGCTCTACTGCTACTCGTCCCCTTCACAATAAGCCAACTCAGATTACTCCATTAGTTCTTTTCATATTTTATCAATCACTAAAACAGAGGCCAAAAATGGGCCAAATTTTATTCTAGAACAGCAGTGTAAATCTGGTGTCACCAAATTCCAATGACTTAGTGGAGTTACACTTCTCATGTCTTTGAGAGGAGACACTGGCCTTACTGTAACTCAGGAAGCCAGCAAATATTAAATAACTACTATATCCTTCTAATATGAATATTGAAATGATTTCTAGTTATCAGGACGCTGCATTTAAGATTTATTTTTTACTCAACCATATTTTTCAGCATTCCTATATATCTGAAAACTGGCAGTTAGTTTTGCTTGTTGTCACAAGATATACCTCCAAATAATCTATTTATAAAAATGTGTGCATGACACAAAATGAGAGAGAGTGTGTATACAGAAACCCAAATCTAATTGGATTTTACAGAGATCTTGCAATTAAATAAAGTGCTTTGAAACTAAATGGCATCATCTCAAACAAGTTTTATAATACTCTCACAGGCCACGTCCAGATGAGCATGGCCGTGTGGTATGCGGTACCACAAACACATCTGCAGCACCACATACCACATGTTCAGTTGTTCTCCACACTGCAAGGGAGCAGCAGTTGGGGGGAAGGGGGAGAGCAGTTTGACCCCTGGTTATCCAGGAATCAAAAAAAACCGTGGGAAGAAATGCATAGAGGTACATGCGGGCTGCTCAGAATTGGAGCCTGGCCAGCTGGAGGGCCAGGCTCCATGCAGCAGGATCACCACTGCTGCAGCCCTGGAAGGCCCCCAGAACCCCAGGTAAGGCTGCTAAGGCCATCCCAGTGCTGGCCCCAACCTTTCCTATTCCACCCAGGGTAACCTGCCATGTGCCACCGGGCACGTTGCACAGGAGTTCCCCATGGACAACTAACAGTAGCATAAAGTGCACTGCTGCTGGTTTTCCCTGGGGAACCAAATGTCCACACACATGTGGACATGGCCACAAAGTATAATCTGTGGGCCAAATAGTGTCTGAGAATTCCTGAAATGCAGCCCCTATAGTCCATCTTCACAAAAGAGAAACAACCTATGGAAACTTTGGGTTTCAAGGGCCCTCAGATAAAAGTGGAGTGATAGCTAGTAGCCTCATTGATCTGCATCTGCATGTTAAGAGTAAGTGTGGCTACAGCCTGGTCTGTTTTTGCAAATTTGATATAGTCTTTGGACTACTGGTGAATTAGCTATTGCAGCTGTCAGCTGAACAGGGATAAAACAAATGCCTTTGAATTAACAGGGCATAAGAAAAAATGTTGAAGTCCTCAAGATTAAATTATCTGATTCCATATCTGATAATTATATTAATATTTTACAGCATGCAGATTTTAATTCTGTCAACACTAAGAGGCACCCCTATATATACTCAGTATATTCATGCCCATTCTCCTCATTAGTGTCATTGGGAATTATTTTTATAAGACTTTGACGCATAGATTTAAAAAAAGGCTTCTAAGCAAGCAACAAAAGGGAAATTCTCATTCTTATCCCCACATAGATTTTCTTGAGGTCTTATTTCAAGACATAGCCCAAACACTTTAAATGTAATTCATTGCAATCTAAATTATCACAGGAATTAAGCACCCACAGCTCCAAATGAAATTCCTGAGCCCTCAGTTATGTTTAAGGCAGGCTCTTACTGAGTCAGCTTTCCTGCATCACCTACAATTAGATAAAAAAGATCATGAGCTATATTGAGGTTTCAATTTTCTGTTCTTATCTTTACACATTTATCCTTACACATACTGGGTTTCTTCTCCTAACACTAAAGACTGATTTGGGAACTGGATCTGGGGGCAGACAAAGAATGTGCACCTGTCTCCACCATGGTACTATATTATACTTTCAATAAAATATAAAAGTGCCACCACCAGGAACGAAAGGAAGGTAAATGTAGATTTTATAAATACAGATCTAAAAAAATCACAAGGGTCAGAGGTTTGTTTTGACTACCTGGGATTTATATTATGGCTAGGCTGTAGTACTGCAGCAAAGGACCTGGAGGTTAAAATGGACCATAAACTGAATACGAACCAATAGTGTGCTCTTGCAAAAAAAGCCAACAGCACACTAGGTGTATGGGAAGTAATTCTTCTGTTGTATTTGTCACTGGTGAGGCCTCACTGGGAGAATTGTATCCATTTTTGGGCCCCACACTTCAAGAATGATGTGGACAGGCTGGAAAGAATCCAGTGATGGGCAACAAAAATTATTAGAGACCTAGGAAACCTGACTGAGGAAAGGCTGAAAGAGCTAGGGTTATTTAGTCTACAGAAGAGACAATTGTGGGGGAATTTCATAAGTCTTCAAACACCTAAAGGGCAATTCCAAAGAGAAAAGAGATTAACTTTTCTCTGTGGCCATAGGGGAATGGACTCAGATAAATGGCCTCAGACTGCAGCAAAGTAAATTTAAATTGGAGATTAGGAAGAACTTTCCGATTATAAGGGTGGTCAAGCATTGGAATAGGCTACCTAAGGAAGTTATGGACTCTCCATCGCTGGACATTTTCAACAGCAGTTTAGACCAACAGTTGGCTTGGATGTTTTATTCAAAGATGATCCTGTCTTGAGCAGGGGCTGGATTAGATTACCCTGTGAGGTTCTTTCTATCCCTACTTTTCCACCATCCTGAGATCCTGTGAAAACTGTACTATACAAATGTGAGTGTTAATCATAAACATGTATCCTGTTATCAAACATATCCCAATTAAATGTATTATGTTTCATTAATCAATGGAAATTGATGGCTGGAGATGAAAGTTGAAATTAAATTGCAAAAACAGATATTGGAATGCATGTACATTGTGTGTATATGTTCACAGAGATAGAAAGACTATAAATCAAAGTATAACAATCTGTTTCTATATAAATGAATATAGCTGGTCTGATAAACATAAAATGTTTTTCTCTGAAAGTGTGTGATTTCCTTCCTAAACCGAATGAACTGTGTGAAGTGAAGCTGCTGCATTTTAATTAAAGAAAAAGATGTGTGCATACACGTGTGCTTATTTTAAATGTTGTATTGAAATCCAGCCATGCAAGATAACTCTCAAAAGATTACTTGGAAAACAAAAAGTCCATGAATACCAGGAAATAAATGCACAGAAATATGAAAAAAGAAAGAAATCCCAAACTGATGCAAGTATAAATAATATAATTTTAAGACTCAATTGTATATAGAAGATGAATGAAAAGCATCACACAATTTTTTTTTATACTTTCAGACCCTTAGATGTTGACAGAGGAAGACAATGTTAGCTTTCTTATGTGAGGAGTGTAGTAAATTTCACAGTGTAGGTACAGAACCTGGTTTTAAAACTGCAAAATCAGTGGATATAGTAGGAGAGAAGAACAAGCCCAAGCCTTGGGCCTAGATATGGATTTGCCTTTATATCTGATAAAACAGCAGGAGAATTGTGCTAGAGATCAAATTTTGAGAGTTCTAGGCCCTGATCCAGCAAAGCATTTAAGCATGTATTTAACTACAAGCAGGGGAGCAATTCAATCAAAGTAAATGGGAATTAAGCACATACTCAATTTCTCTTCAAGTACACAGCCCTAAAGAATAATAACTTTTAGTTAAAAAGAACTTGTGAAATATTTCCTCAGTAGTAACATAAGTTATTAATGAAACTGGAAATGTGAGGCCTGATTCACCATTGTACCTTTACAACTGGGTAAATTAATGACATATTGGCTGTAAAATGTCACCAGATCAGAATGATAATGTTTAGCTATGCAAAGGCCAAGAATTAGAAAAACTTGCTCTCCATGCTTTATCTCTACTGCACCTATGTACAGATTTTCAGTGTCTAGTGCTGTCAATCTGATGAAAATTATGAACAGTAAAATTATTTTAAAAATTCAAACTTTAAAAAATAAATGCTTACTATGGGAACAATAATTCAAAGAAGACTGTGTACTCAAAACTTTGTCAAGTCATAAGACATCCCCATTTCCCCACTGCTATCTACTGAGATGCTAAGTACTCAGGTTGGAGAGTCTAGTCTGTCTGGCTAGGCACAGACATTTGAGAAGCCTGAGCCTGAATTGATTTAATCTTTGCAGGTTAGTCTAACCTGGCTAGGCGAAATCAGTTTTGTAACCAGACAGACAACCCAGAAATGTAGGCACATGCCTACAGTGGCTCAGGCTAGAAGCCAAGGGGCGCTAGAGCAGCCCTCCCCTCCTTCCACAGCAGGGAGCTCAGAGGGGTGTGGCCAGGCAGGATGCTGTGATTAGCCCAGCAGGGAATTGATAACAGTGTTTATCACCCAATTAAGAAAACAACAGAGGGACACTACCAGCTCTTGACGATTTTCCCTGTTAATTCTACCTGCTGATTCAGCACCGACTATAGCCAGCATGTGATCTGTGAGCCAATACACAGAAACCTCCTCAGCAAGGTGGGCGGGGGAAGTGTGGGGGTGGGATTTCTGCTTAGCAGGGCATGGTGAGGGGAGGAGGGAAGCAGCTCACACTCTCTGGAGCTCCAGCCAGGGAGCAGAAGAGAGGGGCCAGCCCTGCTGTGGAGGAAAGAGTCCCACCCAGCCCAAAGAGCATGCCAGGATGATGGGGTTGTCTGGTTTATCTTAAAGCAAAAAGGGGTCTGGGGCAAACATTGCATAAACTGGTTTAAGCCCAACCAGTTGAGTCTGATACTACATTCAACCAAGTTCTCTCATACTGGTTTCAGCCATTTTCAGACTGGTTTATATGCACTGAACATCTGTTCTGTTACATGTTTAAACCAGTTTCTGATCACTTAAACTGGTTTGTGTGTAATGTCTGTCCCTAGCCTCTATGGAAACAGTGGTTGTTATTATTTTTTAAGACCTGATTTGAGGATGATGGATTAATTAGAGTAGTCAGAAGGGCTTGAATTTGACTAGGAAGGGAACATTGATAATGAAATAATTTTAATTACAAACAGCAAAGTAAGTATAACCTGTCTTAAAGTATAAACCAGTCTTAAAGCATCATGCTTCTGACAAACATAAATAGAAAGGAGTATGTAAAGGATCCTTTCTTTTTAATTCTCAAGCAACTAAAGTTAGGAGGTTGGATAACAAACTAGAAGAGCTGAAGATGCTCACTTATGAGGAAAAGATGTGTTATGTTTGGTGTTAATGAAACACGGTAGGAAAGCTGTTATACTTGTAATGTTAAAATCAATAATTACACCTTGTTCCATAAGGACAGATTGGGAAAAGAGAAGATAAGAACAAGCAGTCTACCTCAAAGATACTGGAATCTATCAGTGTCAGAGGATTCAAAACTACTTGAATGCTTATAGATTTAAATTCTAAATAAAAATGAATACACTAAGTAAAATATTACAGACCACCAAATCTCTCAGGATAACCTGCTCTATTTACAGCTGTTCACAATGTATAGGAAGAATAATCCACATGGGGGGACACTTGATGGATATCTTAAGTGATGAGTAAGAAAACATCTTTAGAATTTCTAAAGAAATAATGGATGGTTTCTTAATAAAGAAAGTTCTTCAGCCAAGATGGTTGCAACTCAGTCTTGGACCTCATTCTGACAAAATCAAAATGATGCAAAGGGTTTTGAAACAGCCTTGAAACTAAACGAGGGCAATCAAAACATTCCAAAAGTTTTTAAATATTTCAAGTT